ATCATTTCTTCCAGGGTATTAGATTTAATCTGATTTCTACATTTATTAAAAGAGAAACACAAAGAGGAAAAAAATTTTTTTCAAACCTGATCCATATAGTCTCGTGGCTTCAGAACAAGGAGGAAAGCGCCTACTCAAGTCTGGTGAAATGTGCTGATGCATATAATATGGGTTATATACGTCATAGCTGGGTCCATTATGTGATGCACTGGAAAGTTCTACCTTTCGGTCTCCAAAAGACGCTCTGGCAGATCCTGAAAGCAAATATTGCTAAAGTTTTACAACATCCTTTTCCTGGAGTTATTAGCCTACACCTGGTGCATTCAAGGCAAAAGAAAAAACTTTTTGTCTTGACTAATACTAACTCACATGCATTTGAGATCTAAAAAAAGTTAGCACACAGTTACTGAGCTCTCACTGTGTGGAGTATTCCACCAGGGATCAGCCATGAGCCCTGCTCTCAAGACAGTCTGGTAAATTTTGGCTTTTTTTTTTACCCTAAGCACATATTCCTAAATGTGGAAAATTCTATATTTTGTGATTGGAGTTTCCTATTTTTTTCTACTTACACAAAAGACATCTTTTAAGTTAGATTATCCTTTTTTTTTGGGGGGGGGAGATGTACTCTGTTCACAAATGCCAGAACATTTATAAAAACTGACCACATAATGAGATACACAGAGCAAGTCTCAATAAATTTTAAAGGATTGAAATCATACACAGTATGTTCTCTAACCACAATGCAATAAAGTTAGCAATCAAATTGAATAGAAAAATATTTATATTGAAACACAAAGGACCAAAAAGGTAATCTTTAAGAAGAAAAACAAGATTCAAAGATTCGCTCTACTGGGTGTTAAGAATAGAATATTGGCACAATTATAAGATCAACGGAACAGAATAGAAGGCCCAGAAAGAGACACCCATTTTATAGACACCTGGCTTATAATCAACGTGGCACTGTACACACGACAGTGGGAAAAGGATGATCTTTTCACTAAAAGGTGATAAGACAATTGGATATTGATATAGGAAAAAAACTTTCATCCAAATAAACATATCCATAAAAAATTAATTCCATGTAGACGGTACCTCTAAGTTAAATGTTAAGGGCAAACCAATAAAACTTCTATATTTAAGTAAAATTTTAAGTTTTCATGGCCTTAGGGCAAGGAAGCACTTCTTAAATAGAATACAGCATTAATCATAAAAAAAAGTTCATAAACAGAACTATATTAAAATTGAAATTTTCCATTTGTTAAAAGACGATTTAAGAGTAAAAAGGTAACCCATTCAGTGGGAGAAGATACATGCAACAAATATAATCAACAAAGGGCTCATATCCAGATCGCATGAGGAACTCCTACAAATCAATAAGAAAAAGACAAGAATTTATATATAAATTGGCTTAAGACTTAAGCAGGCACTTCAGAAGAGAGTCTCTCCAAATAGCCAATAAGCATGACCCGGTGCTCAATCTCATCAGTCATGAGGGGAATGTAAGTTAAACCTGCAATAAGATACCACTACATGCTCACCAGAATGGTTAAAATTAAAAAGCCTGACAAAAGCAAGTGTTGGCAAGAAAGCAGGGCAGTGTGAACTATCATACTCTGCCAGTGAAAATGTAAATTGATACAATCACTGTGGCACACAGTTTGCTAATTTCTACTAAAGCTGAAGATGTTTGTGTCCTGTGACCCAAATATGCCATTCTGGGACACACACACAACTGAAATGCTTGCACATGTGCACCAAGAGACCAGTACAAGAATGTTCATAAGCATCACTATGCATAATTGCCCAGAACTGGAAAAAACTCAATGTCCATCAACAGCACAACAGATGAACTGTAGTATATACTTACGACATGAAAATACCTTATAGAATGCTATATAGAAACCACCGTGTATCATGCCACTTAGAACCCAATCAAACAGATAAATACACTCATTGTACAGATAGGAAAGCACACTGAAGCTGCTAACAACAATGTGAATGAATTTCACAAACATCATGTTGAATGAAGGAACCCATCAACAGAAGATATACTGACTATGTAATTTCATTTAGCTAAAGGTCAGAAAACAGAAAAAACTAAACTATAACACTTAGGAATGTGTACTGAGGTGGTAAAAAGTAAGGAAAGCAAGAAAGTGATGATTATAACATCTGGGAATACTGATTACTCTGGAATGAACGAAAGGAGGGAAGATGGGCGTTTTGGGGTTCCTGGTAATAAGCGACTTCTTTGAGTGGTGACTATACATATGTTTTGCTTCTAATAAACCACTGAGCTGTATATTTCTGTTCCTTTCTTCTACATGTGTTTTATATTTCACAGTTTTAAATGGGTGAAACAATAGATCAAATTCCTTTCAATGCTAATAATCACATTGGAAACAATATACACACAAAAAAGAAAGTTTAACTGTTGAAATTATTCCCATGTTTTCATTCTTTTTGTCCCATGTAAAACAGACTCCACGGTATCAACTAATATTTTCTGAATTAAGCTAAACAAAACCGGTAGCTTCACACTGAGTTCAGAAGAGACATAACTCACAGTGTTATGAGGTGAGATTTTATGCTCATCCCGGTTCAGATAACGATGTGTCCAGCCCAAGCTCAGTACACAGGCAGAGGGGAGCCAAGGGGGAGTCATGATGCCAGGGAGCCTTATAAAGAGCCCTGCACCCTTACAGGCTAACACCTAAATCATTCGGCACACAAACACTGCCACAAAAGTCAGTTTATGGTAACAAGAATAGCACTGTCAGGAGTAATAGCACCAAAAATGACTCACCACCTTTATACGCTATACTTAAAAAAAGAATATTCTGATTTCATTTTTCCTTTGCAAGTAAGCCACGCAAAATTCCAATTTTCCCCTCAAATAGTATACAGTGATATCAACTTTTAAGTTCAAAAGGACTTTCCCTCATTTACAGAACCACAGTGCTAGAAAACTAAATGTCAAGTTATACAACTGCCTACACCTCTCAACAGCCCTATTTAAAATTTCAATATTCACTCAAAATGCATTCTCTTGATGGATAGGTAGGTAGACAGGTAATAAAGCAAGCACAGTGAAATAATGCTAGAATTGTTCTGTTATCAAAGCAGTAAGCTGCAGCTGTAATCAGACTCATCAGCAAGTAAGCAACACAACAAAACAAATTCCAAATAATTTGAAACATAATCTTAGTCATTATTGATAGTGGTCTCCCCTTATCTTCTCAAAATCTCCACGTCAGCCCATCACTCACACATACAGCTCACACATATTTGGCTTTTATAATTAGGTACCAAGAATACTTTCTTGACTCTGGCTATATAAAGTAATTTTCTCTCCAACATGTTAAAAAACAGATGGCTTCCCCACATCCTCAGTGAGCCTCTAAGTACACCCAAATTTCTGACTCTTCAACTCAAAAAGTAGTGTTTTCTAGTGATACAATGAAGAAGAAGAGGGAGAGGAAGGAGAAGGAAAAGGAGAAGAAGAAAGAAGAAGGGGAAAAAAAAACCCCAAAAATCAAACTATCACATATCGCCAGGCAGGTATTTCTTGTTTCCTGATTATGAAAATAACACATGAAACACCATAAATGTCTAAGAAAAGGGAATTTATTAAATAAATTATGGTAAGTCCATAT